TATTTCTACTAACTATTATTACACCTATAAGTTCCTTATTAACACGATTAAGATTTCAAAAATCTAATTGCATACATTGTAATTATTTTGATGTACAAATTTCAACGGTATCATTTATGATTGATATCATTACTATATTTCAACATTGCTATTGGTACCGTATTACTACCAAAAATCATTTTTATCATTTTAATAGCATGGACCTTAATTTCACCTTTATCATTTTATTGTTTAAAAAATATATATTTTTGTTAAATAAATATGATACAGAATATTTTAAAATATACTGTTTATCATCTTCGATGTACGACATAGATTAGAAGTAATTTTCATGTATGTTAATGACCAAGGATATGCCGAACAGTAATATTTTAACAAAGTTACGATGTGTATGCTTTTTTAACTTCTAATACTGATACAATATATAGTTACGATTTATTCGTTATCACTTTTTATATTATTAGTGTAGCAATTAAATCGATTATCATTTTGTAATACATAAGTTCAGTTTTCTATATTTTCATGTTCAATCGCAGAATTAAAATTATTTCGATTTAAACCAGTGTAAGCGTAGTTCGTAATGCTTGTACATACTTCGCACTTAAAACCCACGGCGATTTGAATCCTTTTCTTAAAGACTCATCGATAATGATTATCGCTATAATTGTTTATTTCTTTGTCAAAATTTGTGAACCTGGTATAACAACAAATTATTCCTTGCAGACTTTATATTTTCTGCGAAACATAGATTACTGTTATAAGGGGTGAAATGTGTAAAAAAGATTTTCACAGTTTCCGAAGATATATTTATCAGATTCGGGGAAAAATGGACCTGACGGAAATTCCATGTCAGTACTAGAATTGTGTCCATCGCCTTGAACAGGACAGGTATATACCGTTGCACCCTCTTTTTACAAAAAGTATGCTGAGGGCATAATAGAATGGAGATTGCGGTGCTTTCAAGGATAGAGGGTGATGCTCGGAGTACCTAACGCGTTTAGAATTGCATTACTCATTGACTAAGGTTACAATGGAACGATTGGTAGTAATACTTTCACAAAAATTTTAAGCAACGTATAGAACTTGCAATTAATATTTCTACAATAATGGCCGAATTTCTATGTATTTTCTACATACATATATCAAAGTTTGATTTGAATTATAAATTATGAATGGCATTTTGAATTGAAATATTTTCTGCGGATATATAACCCTTGAGAAGATATATATATGTATAACTCCTCAAGGGTTCTTTTACATAGCTAGTATATAAATTTTCTAATTGATGATTAATAAATATATTTTAAATCAATTAGTATATTTAGTGATTTTAATTGGTCAACTTACTTGCAGAATTACATTAAAAAAAACAAATGCTGTCGATTTTGTATTTCGAAATCATCTGGAAATTAGTATAATAAAAAGTTATAAGTACTATAAGGAAATGGTTGCTTCTTATAGCGAGATAAATCTTTTGTGATCCTGTATAGTATGCATGCAGCTTTTGTAACACGCTACACACTCTAATAGCGATGCATTATCGTAAAGGTATGACATTTTACAACATAATCTCTTAACATTCATAATGGTGATAACCATACGAATCTCACGATACATACTTCCTCGTGCGACAATCTTGATTCGAGTTTGCTGTTAATATGGGTGAGTTCAGTTACAAGTAAACGGGGGAAAAACAACTATTTTATTACGTTTATTGCCGCCTTCCGTGGCCGCGAAGATCGTTGATCCTGTTCTTTAAATCTTCTCCAGGAAACTCGTTTCAATTTATCGTTTTGCCGTGAATTAATTATATTACGTCATATGCTGGCAAATTCTTTTGGAATGTCGCTGAACCGGCAATGGGTTTCTCTGTTGCTAGGAAGTGTCCTATGTATTACATGAATACGTGCATGAGAAGGCGTGAATATGCATACGTAAACACTTGAATATGTAGACATATACATATATGTGAATAAGTAGAAACATATGTATACACGAATAAGTAGACATAAATACGCGAGTATGTGAATACATATACTTAACTGCGCATACCTGAATACATGAGTTCCGTCACAGTTGAACACGAACGAGAATCCATCAAAGTAAAATTTATTATTAATCCTCAGAATTGCGATTATCCAAAATTGCGTCACCAAATTACATAATTTTCGGCAGTTAAATAAAATAAATTATTGTTGGACGAAGAAAAAGAGGATCGGTCTTCTTGTAATAGATACTTTGAAAATTATGTTTTGAAAAATTGACGAATAAAGCTGAGAATGATCGCAGATATCGTCCATTATAATTTTATTTCAATCCATTCTTTTACATTAAAATAATCGAATACAAATATATGTATACAGAGTGTTCCAAACTACCGGTCCATCCCTATTAAAATGGTAGGGAGTGATTTTTATCGAAAATTAAAAAAATTTTGATGAAATTGACATGTCGAGGCTCAAGAATCAACTAAAATCGTTATGGTAGGCCTGATAAATAAACATGAATCGAATATTTGGCGAAATCGGTATCTTAATCGTTTCGTGATTGATACATGCATTTTCGAAAAAAATGTTTGAGACAAAACTTTTATATTTTTCGCGTGCAATCCGTCTATGCAATAAAAATACGAAGTTCCATTAAAAAAGCTAGTTCCGGTCAGTACTAGAAATTGTAACTATGTACCACCATTCGATGTGCGTACTCGAATTGGTTATCAACATTTTTTAATAAAGGTGAACGGGTGGTTTGGGACACTCTGTATATAAGAAACGATAGAAAGCTATATTATTATTGTTTTCTCTTTTATTTCTTTATATTGTTTTAACTTGTAAAATCGTCAATCACATGTGACAATGGTCCGCCGTCCGAGGATTAATTAATCGGACAGGAAATTGGAATTCGACCCTTTTTGATTGCGCATACAAAAATAAGGTCGGACAGTCGAAAATGTGAATAAAATAAAAAATAACTAAGCGTGAATGTACGATTAAAATGATTGAATTGCTAAGTAGGAAATACGGATTAGCTTCTCACGCACCCACAACTTTATCTGACAGTTCCGTTCGATTTTCCCATCTATCTAACCAATGAATTTTAACGATACCTTTATTAGTATAAATTATATTGCTTTGGCATGAACACGCTTGCCGTAAATATGCTTTCTATAAATACGCTCGCCATGAATATTCATTAGATCGGTATCATTTATCTTCGTGTGTCTTTGGATGAGCATTCTAGATCGAAGGACTATCTGGTTAAGATGTTAATCAGGTTCGGCGGAAGCGGTCGCTACGATTAGAAGTTTTATTTTATTTGATAAACGGGTAAAACCCTTTGGAGAAAGCATTACAGAGTCATTCTTAGGTAGATACAGCACAAAGCAATTGCCGTTTAAAATGATTAAGTGGTCAGACAATATCAAACTCTTCACATTGGTATTCACCGTTGGTTTTCTTGTCGAAGTATTCTCGATTTAATAGACGCTAAACAAAATGAAGCCAGTAATACCGGACAGACAATGAAGCCATCGAGTACCTTATGAGCAAAAAGAATATCATTTATTATACGTCTTTTTTCGAGCCGTTTGCGAAGTTGCGGTGTATTCCGTAGAAAAATCGAATACGCCGTAGAAATTAACCTACAGTGTCATAAAAAGTTCGTGTGCACATATTTTAGGATATCTCGGTACAATTATGCGAGATTTTGTCATCATCCGCCACGATGATGAGTATCGGAGCCTCATTAATTCAATGGAGACGCGAGAACCAGATCGAAGGGAAACTACTTGCAGACGGTTCGTCATAGACATGATAAAGATTGCTGTGGAGAATACTTCGAGGGCTCCGCTTGCGGACAGAGCGGTTCTAAAACGACTAAATTGAAAATTGATCCCGTCGG